TGCCCAACTAAATTTGCTGAACCGAATCAAACTCGTGAATTTACACTTGTTTGAGCAAGTTTGCTCAAGTTTACACAACTTACTTAAAAATGAGTTAAGTTAACCCATTTCATGGATTTAGTATCATAAACTCGAATCATCATGTAGGCTCCCAACTTGATAACCATGGTTGTAACTTATGCGAACTATCAATGTTAGAAGTGACTTTTAAATTTAAGTTAACCTTATCTCATTGTGTGAAAGATGTTTTTGTTGAAGCCTATGTGCTAACTTGCTCATAATAAGGCCATGAAAATTAATTAAGAAAAAGTTGTAATCACCTATAATTTAGTTTAGGATAGCTTTGCTGCATCTGTTAATCTAAGTATTTGGGTGTTATTAGTTCAATTATATTGGTTGCTAAATACATTAATATTTTGTGGACAATATTTTAGTCCTAGATCCATTTATGATGATGAGAACTGCACTCCATCTATACTATAACTCTTTCCAATCTACCTCAAATTTCAGTATGCATCAATATTCCGAAGAGGGGAAGTACATGCGATTCCTTCATCTACACAAGGCACAGCATCTATGACTTCTACTGCTTCACTTGATAATTCTCTATCTGACATGTACCGTTCTCCTCCAAGGCCCTTGCCTTATGATGCAGACCCCAGGTTTTTCCTTTCACAGCGTGATGGACTAGTGTCAAGACGTGAGAAGGGTTCAAGTCATTTGAATGAAGAGTCAGAACCTCTAAGAGGTGAAGTAGATACTGACTCAGAATCTTTAAACTCGGGTGGTAAATGGAATGATACCAGTGAAGATGGATCAAAGGAATACCGGAAGTCATCTATGAGACTTTCATCAGCAAAACTTACAACTGGAACTAGGGTTGTCGATTCATCATTGGAAGTGGAGGATGTCTGTCCGACATGTCTTGATGGTAAGTTTTTTTTTTTTTTTTTTTCCCAATTAAACTCAAATTTTCATCAGAAGATTACATGGTGCTAGGGCTCAATTTTGCATTAAATATTGGTCTGTAGCAAAGTTATCAATCCTGATAGCAGTCAGAATGGTCAATTTAGAACTGCTATAGTAGGATAGCTGTTATGTTGAAGACCATAGATGAAAGTTACATGATTTATACTACACGTGTATAAATTGCTCAAAAATGAAAAATATCCAAAAATATCACAATGAATATTAAAATTCATAGTCTTCAGATAAATTCATTTGCCAGTTACCACTAAAGTCAACCAAAAAGTGAGGCTCAATGGCTGATACTCCTAGTTATTGAGGGTTTGGAAAGGGCAGATGTACGCAATCTTACTCCTGTAGAGGCTAATTGCCAGAATTTGAACATACGGCTTGCACGACTCTGTGTCAAAAGGCAGCAATCTTAATGCTATATCAAAGCTCACAAGAGAAGTTGTAACCTCTAAACTCTGAAATTAGAACTTCAAAAAAAAGTGATCTCATTGAAATATAAGAAAACACAATGCGACCGTTTTGAAAATATAAAGAACTCAGCACCTAAAACTATCTGCCTTAACGCAACACAGAAAAAAAAAAAAAAGAGAAAAAACTACATGGAATGATGGAAATGGTGGTAAGAATTGAGGATAGAGGCTTTTCTGAATTGTGAGGACATACGCAAAACTGACAAAATAAGGGTTGATCTGTTATGGTATAAGAGAGGCTTTGTCATGAAATGCAGAGTTTGGAGATCTGGTTTGTTCGCAAAAAGGGAGAAGATTAGCATTAAACATGTTATTTGGCCTCAACTCTCCAACACTTGCATGAAAGAAGGGTGTGTCCGGGCTTGAATCAGAAACATGGGGTTTCTGATATAAAACATAAGGAGACCACAAAAATATCCTAAAACCCAGCTTTCAATTATGAACAAAACAGGGAGGTTAAGTAGGGGTTTATTTGTCTTGACTTATAGTTTTACTTGGCTATATATTTTTATTTGTTTTACTTGTTGAAAATGATATTGACACTGGCAGTGTGCCTTCTGTCCCTTAAATTGTGAAGAGGAAAAAATAAAAGCTGGTTATTTTGAGTAATTAGATAAAATAAAATATGCCTAATTCACTGGTTTCTGTATGCTATTCCATTAGTTGATCTGTAAAAAGAAAAACATAATCTGTTAATATTATTTGGCATTGGGTTCGAATTAGGAATGTAACCTTATACTTTAGCTTGGGAATGTAGGAGGCAAATCCTTGAGTTTGTTTCTATTATTTTTTCTTGCAGAATACACTGAAGAAAATCCAAAGATAGTAACAAAGTGCTCTCATCATTTTCATCTTGGTTGCATTTATGAGTGGATGGAAAGAAGTGACAACTGTCCCGTTTGTGGGAAGGTAATGTTTACTAGGTATTTTCTGAATTATTTCTTACTGAAATTTCCATGTTCATTTGAAATTTGAACATAGAACACATAAAATTAGTGTAGTGAGAACCAGGCTGAACCAGTCAGTTCAATCAGAAACCAGCAAAATGATAATGTCTCTGGTTCAGTTCTGTAAACTGTATGCTGTCCAGAGTGCAAAATGTTTTGAATCAGCCAGTTACAGAGCAAACTGGTAAACAAGTCCAATCGTTCAGATGGGCTGTGGGTCAAATGTTGTTACGAAGTGGGACATTGGAACATTTCAATTGGAAATCTGCAGAAGGGAAAATTTAGGATTCAACAACCATCTAATTGACATGGTAGCATGTCAAATAGCGGGCTACGAAATACCAAGATTCTTGTTAAGAATACTAGGTTAGTACCTGTGCGGTGCATGATGATAAATAGAAGAAATGTATGAGTGATAAGAAAAAGATCATAGGTTTACTCTTTGGGATACTGTTTAATCATATCTCAGAAAATACTACCCTGTGATTTTTTAGGCATTTTCTGGCCCCTGTTCTTGATTTTGGTGAGCGGCTCATTAAAACCCATGAAATCTCTGATTTATTTCTCTCAAAATAGGGGAAATTGGAAAGGAAAGAGAAACAGTAGAGGTGTCGGTGATGAGGGAATGGCTTGTGAAATTGCCACATAGAGTATGCTAGGAACACACTCTTTTGAACCAACTCTTTCATTGCTGAAGTTTATAGGAAATTTAGGAAATTTGGTGAGTCCCACACCGTATTTAATAGGCCTCATCTAAATTTGTTGTTTTCAATAAATTATAATCAATAGGAGAGAGAGTGTTATGAAGAGTGGGTTCTTAGCACTCCTCTAGCCACATATCATAGAAGTATGTATGATTTTGCTACATAATTGTCGTGTCGGACAGATAATGTGCCATTTGGTAATATTTTCATACACGGGGCTACATAAGCACTTTTTGATAGTCGGATGGAATTTCCATTTGGGATGAATTTAATGACTTTATATGAAATGAGACTTGCTTGTACCAAAAATGTTGTAGGAAAAACTGAAACGAAATTAAAGGGCGAAAGTTATATTTAGAGTAAGTATAGGATTTGCTTTGGATAAATAACAAGTATATTTCAGTTTTTCTTCAACAATAGCTTGTTATTTTAATCACTCAATGTCTTATGGAATTTGGTTTCTGATACATTGCATCAATTTAGAAACTATACCTTTGCTCACAGAAATATTAGGTTTATTCTGTGACCCGTGGTTAACTAAGAGTTTCTTGTTACTACCAACTTAATGGCTTGGTATATTAACCAGTATGTGCTTTTATATAATTCGATAAGTTTATATGTAAAAATTGGTGATGGAAATGCAAAACATACTTGAGTTAGAGCTGCTTGAGCTTGATACTAATTATTTTAACTTAGCTGACAGACTTCCGCATAGCATAAAATAATATTGTTTACATGTGAAATATTGCTTGTTTGTCGATTTACTTCTTGGTCCTTTTCAGCTTGATTCAAATAATGTAGTGTGTTTTCACACAATCATTTATGATCATACTATTATTTTAATATTGATAAAACTAAACTGTTAAAATGTATCACACTTAAATTTGTGTATTGACAATATGTGCATTCTAGTTTTTTGGAGTCCACTGAATCTTGATATTTACTTATTTATATTTTGGTGTAGGAGATGGTATTCGATGAAGCGACTTAATCTTGATTAAAAAGGTTTATATCGTGGATAATACCAACATCAGAGGAAAGGAAAATACAAGCATAGACATTGTGAATACTTCAGATTAAGCAGTTATCATGTATAGTAAGTAAATAACTTTTATTAACCATCACTGTAAGTTCTATCTCATCCAAGTTGTTTCTATATTTATACTTTTGTCCCTTGCCAAAACTTCTATGATTGAAAGAAAATCCCATTTTAGATGGGAATTTGGTCATGGTTTGAACAGATTGCATTGTAATAGAATGATTACCTCTATTTTCTTTTTAGTTTTTGTTAATTTTGTTTGATACGAGTTTAATCCATAAGTTCGATCTTTGAACCTTTTTCTTAATTGATTTATGAAACTGATATGGTTGATTCCTAAAAAATATTTCTAATTTTTAAAACTAACCGAAATAAGTATGCAAAACCAAAATTTGAATTTTTTCTTAATATAATTTTATAATAATTATCCCTCAACTCGTCATATAATATTATTATTTGTACTGGTTCGGTGTACTCTGATTTTCTTTTTAACATAAAGAAACTGTTCATATAATTGATTCGGCTTAAACCACTTTTATAGCTCATTACTGGTTTGGCCTGTTTTCCGAAGTAACTGTGTCAAGGTGGTATTCCTAAAAGCTTAATGCAACTTGACTGCTGAAGCATTTACTAGGCTAAAATTTGTTGGTTGTAGTGAAAATGTTAAATAAAAATCTGAATACGCCAAGAGTGTGGTTGCAGCGTCAGTAGCTAGAGGATGAGAGGTCCTTGAGTTGTTACTCATCAGTGTTTTCGGTCAACAAAGGAATATGAGAAAAGCCAAAAAACTGAAGTTAGTGATTATAAAGATAATAATAGAATATTAGCTTGAATTAATGGTTGATTAGAAATAAAACTATCCCTAAGCTCTGATAGAAAAGTTATTGTGATATCCTACTTTTACCGCCAAAAGGGACTGTGGAGAAATTATGATTCTTTCCCTACTAAATCCAGCATAAGCATTTCTCTTAAGGTGCAAAATTTAGAATAGCAGGACAAGAAATGGTTAAGGAAAATATTTAAATGTACTTTATTTTGGTTTCAGAAAAATGTTTATAATCAAATTGCTAGAGGGACCTTAAAAGGAGTATATTAATATAAATATTAACAAAGACCAAACATTTGCAATAAATACACGTGCAAAGTCACAAACTGGTATACACATAATTGTAAAACATAAATAATGCCTTGCATGTCGAATATAAGTTTCACATTTGTTAGAGTATTATAAAACTTGTAATGTGCAAGGTTCATCCTTATATACAATAGAAAGCTCTCAAGAAGACTTCAGGGGTTTGTCCACCGCTCAACTTGTTAGTTCCATTAATCTGACAAATGATAAATAAGTCAATCACTTTGGTTGTTTTTATTATTATGAAACTGTAAAATTCTGACTGGAATTTCAACACTGTATACACCTACCACATAGTATGGAACCCCTGAAATGTTTCCAGAAATCGTGTTAATCTCTTCCTCAACCTAGGTAAATGGAGTTATGAAAAGCAATATCAGCATTACTCAATCTCACCTAGTAAAGATACGATTTTATTGTTGTTATAAAGTAACATCAACAGTTATAACATTTCGTGACTGCCTAACAACTAAGGTTGTGTTTGGTTATCCGTTTAAATGCTTCATGTGATCATTGATTCTACACACATGAATTGAGTTGAAAGTGCACTGGAACACATGTTAAATGATATCCAAACACACTATAAAAAGTACACTACCAGTTTCACGTTAACATTAAAAAGAAGAAAATGCAGTAAGCATTTTTGAAGTTGAGTGGTGATATTTTGACAACCAAAATCCATACAACCCTTATAAACAACTCACTTTTATTAATATAATAATCTATAGGCTGATTTAATAAAAATAAAAATAAAGTAAAACTATTATTATAATATTAAAACAGAGTTATTTACTGGAGTTGTATGATTTGGGTTGTCAAAGTATTATTTTCCTTTGAAGTTAGAATCAATGCCTAATAACTCAAATGTTACAAACAATAAACCATATCGTAATAATCATTTGAATTTGAAAATAGTATAAGGAAGTTTGCATATATATATATATATATATATATATATATATATATATATATATATATATATATATATATATATATATTACCTCCTTCAGACCATTGTTGGGATCCTTAAGAAACTCTTCTGGTCCTTCTATGCCAACCATCCAAATTGAAAATGATAATAACTGTTTGTCACTCTAGGAACTTTTTTTTTAACGAAGTAGTAGAGCTAATGCAATACTAATTGCAATCCTAAATATATTGGCACTTTGTTAACAAGATTTGAAGATATTTAAATGACCTGCAATATCTGCCATATCGTACCACCAAAGACCACCATCATTGCATTTTATTTGATGCTGAAGATTCAATTCTACTTTATTAGTCTTTGGATATATTTTGTATAGTACACCTAATATTTAAATGCACCTTCATCGAAGAAATGAGATGTTCAACCACAAAATAGTAAAATAAAAGAAGTCACTTGTCAAGTGAGTATTAAGAGTAATTGATATGCCAAAAACATAACAATTCAGCAACTGAAATCCACACAGATGGACATGTCTTTGATAAAGTATGTAGAATATGTCCTTCCATGGCCTTAAAGGAATACAGACTAAGTGTCATTAATTGAGCAAACAACCGAAAAGATCATTGAGAAAAAAGTCAACAACAAAAAAAGTAAAAATAAACCATAAAGCACTTACTGCTCACCAATGTATCCAATGTTAAAGTTCTTCAACTAGATCATGTTGCTTATGAAGACCTTGCTGTCCTGCAAAATATATAAGCCTGTGACTGTCAAGAGTGTTTCCCCTGCGGATAATCAAAACCATGTTACTTGAACATAGGTTAGACAACTTTTCTTCGAAATACTCTACTTCTAAAGTGATTTATAAATGTTTGTCCATTGATGGATTTAAAATCACTTTCAATCTTACGTGAGTCCAGACAAGCTATATTCCAGACCAACAACATTCCTGAACACCTGCCAAATACAGCTATGGCCTTATCTAGATATTTTTTGCCAATAAAACACCATGGGCACACAGTACCAGAGCTAACATCAATTCTTACTAGTTTCTTTTCAGAAGTCCCGCTCATGATCCTGCTGTATCTGCAAGATCTTAACAACATAACAAGTAAACATAAAGTAAGATTGCTATGACAAGGTGGAATCATAATCTATTACCATTCGTTTTGAGAAAAATAAAATAAAATTAAAATCACTAGAATTTCATCTTCTTCGTGAAATGAAGTTTTGTATTAAAGATCAATGCGAATTAGTGAGATAAAATAAAACTCTTGTTCTAATATGAAAACAGTAAAAAAAAAAAAGAAAGTTATCTAAAATTCTGCATGCTTACTGCATCTAAGTTATCCTCATATTTGCAGAACAAATTATTACATCGCAATAAAGATGAATACAGAAAAAAATTATATGCTGGGAAATTTCAGAAACGTTTGTCTCAAGCTAATCTGTGATCAGATTCAAAAACAACCCACAACAAAAAAGAAAACAAAAACTAGAAAGAACATAAAGTTTGACAAGAGAAATCATAAAATGCGAGCATAATCAAGAACCAACCAATTTACCTGGAAGGGTGGATGGGTAAACAGAGAGGAGAGACACTATATTCAAAAGCTTTGCCACTGCTCACAGAAATTGCAATTGGAATCTGTTGTTTGACATTGACCAGAGATTAAGCTTAGAACAGGAACAACATCACGTGTCCATTATATTATTGGTATTATTGATATCATTGTTTTATGTTATGTCTTCATTTCTCCTCCGAACGTTCCAAGTTGTCGTTTCTGACCCAACCACCCTAACATCTCATATTTCTCACATGCTATTCTTCTTCTTCTTCTTATTATTATTATTATTAAAAAAATGAATATATATTATTAAATAAATATATTCGATATCTAAGTAAGTAAATAAAGTAATGTATATTATTAAAAAAATACTTAGTTTTAAGTAAAAGAGATAGCAAATTTTTTATAAAATGATATTCGACAATATCTGCTCGAAATTTATAAAATTATTAGTTTTTATCGGAGGAGTGCATTGCATTTTAAACACCTAATATTTTAAAAAAATGTCTAGATTAATTATCTATTTATCTTGTCACCACGCCTAAATATGTAATAAAATAAATAGTATATATTTTCTAATAAAATCATACATGATTGATGTTAAAATTTTATTTCTTGTTAATTTAATTTTTACGACCAAAAATAAAATAAATTTGAATATTTCTTATATTTGACTTTCTAAGAAGAAATAATTAGTTTTATTAAAAAAATATTACACTTATATCTAATTCTACATAACGTGTATACCAATTTATACTAAATTTCGTAACATTTTCTATCATTTTTCTCCACGACAATTGGTGTGGATGGATGTTGGGCTTATTATCTGCCATTGTTGATCTCCACCTTTTGCTCCACCACATTACAAAATCAAACCATCAATTATGAAATATCATTTATCTATTATCAACTCTTTCAACTCAATTAATTTAAACCTAAGAAGCCAAAAATTATTAATTTCATCAATATTACAAAATAACTTGTTTAAGTCTAAACTTGTGTAAATCAAAATATATTTTTATTTCAATATATAATGTTTATTTGTATATATAATATAATTTAATAATTTAATAATTGTTTTAGACTCTCTTTTTTTATTATTATATATTGTAATTCTGATTTAGAAAATTCAATATTTGTGAACGTGAGGGCGTTGAAGAACCTTATAAAAAGCGTTTGATACCCGCCACTGCCTGAGATTGACTCTACCCTTCTTCATTACCCTTTGACTAACCATTCTTTAATCTTTTCTTCTCCTTTTCCTTCTCATTTTTTCATTCCTTTTCAGGTATCTATCCTACGCTTCTCTCTCTCTCTCTCTCTCTCTCTCTCTCTCTCTCTCTCTCTCTCTCTCATTCATTCCGTGATCCTCAATTGCAATGGATTCCAACCCTATCCTCTCCCCTGTCTTTCGCACGCCATTTCCCTAGATTCCAGCTTTCTTTGATTTAATGCTTATCTTGATTTGGATTTTTATCATAATTACCATATTTCATAAGAAAATACTTTTGTTCGCTGCTAATTTATCGTTATTTCAACCCGAATGATTCAGAAAGCGGGTTCATTTTTTTCTTCATTTTTCGTTAGTTTAATGTAATCAGCAAAATTTTATTTTTTGGGGGTGAGGGTCTTGAATTTTTATTTTTCTTAGCTGTTGTTTGTTTTTATTACCGTTTGTTGCAATCTACAATTCCACTTATTGGTTTTTGCTTGTTTTAAGGTGAACAAAGTATGGATATTGATGCGATTTTTGGGACCAATCGACCCGTGAGTCTTCCGAGGAAGAGTGCCATTTATGTGTGGGGGTACAATCAATCAGGGCAGACAGGTAGAAAGGGAAAAGAGGATCAGCTGAGGATTCCGAAGCAGCTGCCTCCTGAGCTGTTTGGATGTCCGGCTGGCACCAATGCACGATGGTTGGATGTTGCCTGTGGCCGGGAGCATACTGCGGCAATTGCCTCGGATGGCTCACTCTTCACTTGGGGTTGGACTTTTAATTCTCTCGCGTGTTTTACTCATTGTTCATTCTGGCATTCATTCAAGTACTGTCTGTGTTTTGTATGATTGTTGTTCTGTGCTTGTATTATTTAGGCATCCGAAGGGATACCAAATTAATAAATTTTAAGTGAATTATTTGTGCCTTCCCTCCAGACCCTGCTACGGTTAAAGGTGGATCCTAAATTTGGACCTTCTCCAGCTCCATTCCCTCCAGGCATCATGCAGCAAACATCGAAATTTTTAAATTTGTTATTGTACAGTAATTGGAGATTTAGATTTTGGATGGAGAAAATCTGCATTTTGGATCCACCCCTTTAGTGATTTGTAAAATCCCCACATAGGAGCTAAGGGGAAGAGGAAAGGAATAAGGCTATACCAAATATGTAACTGTGAGCTAGTTCATGGGACTTCCCTTCCCAATTTTTAGCCTCCAATTTTCTTCCTATGTTCGGATGTCCCAAGTATCTCCTTTTATGTTTTATATATATTAGCATTGGTTGGCAATTGACATGTACTTGTAATGAGAGAGTAAAAGTGTTAAGTTATTCCATTTAGTAGCTACAATAAGAATTATTTTGGTCTTGTGTCTTGCATGTGAACAGTTAACCTTTAGGTTTTTTGTTATGTGAAAACTCAAACGAAGGGGTGGTTGTTGGATTTAAAAAAATCGGGGGAAAGAAAATGTAGGCTTACTTTTGGGAGGGAGCGTATTCTCCTGGAATAGTGCTTGCAGGTGCTGGCTTTCAGTATTCTAGGATAAAAACATCCTAACAGATTTCTCATTACACTTAAAATATAGGATGTGGTCTGTGTCAGCGGAGACAATCTTTGCTCTACAGTTCTTTTTTTGTTATAATTGGAATTACTTCCATTTGATAATTTATTAAGAATTAATAGTAGGAAAAAACATGCATAAGAATTATTTACTTTAGATGATTTTCTCCGCTATTCTAGTTGTTTGTTTGTTATTTTTAATAGCTCATATTACATATAATTTGGAAACATAAAAGTGCCAAGTGTCTAAGACTCATGCACGCATCCCATATGCAGGGGCTAATGACTTTGGTCAATTGGGTGATGGAACTGAGGAGCGAAGGAAACATCCAAAAAAAGTAAAGCAATTAGATTCAGAGTTTGTAAAATCTGTGTCCTGTGGAGCACATTGTTCTGCTTGCATTGCTGAACCTCGGGAAAATGACGGTACCATCTCCACAAGAAGGCTCTGGGTGTGGGGGCAAAATCAGGTAATACATTTTAAAGGATTAATACAATGTTGTCTGAAACAATCTATCTTTCTCTTCTTCAACATATTTTTGTATTCCAGGGATCGAATCTTCCAAGGTTGTTTTGGGGAGCCTTCAAACCCAATACAGTAAGTATATATGTTTGAGCATGTTGACATATTTGCGTGCATATTCATCACAACTTAAAGAAATGATGTCATTATTTGATTGTTTTTATTTTCCTTATTTAGATGTAAATAGACCTATGTACCTACTGCTATTGTCCATGCAAGGTTTAGAGGAGTGAAAACAACAAAGGAAAAGTATGCTCATAATGGACTCTTATTTCTAAACTTAGTGTAATATGCTCAATGTAATTATTTCGTAACATTGCTTTTTGCCTAATTTCTTTTTTGTAACCTTGCTGGGAATTATGATATATGAGTGAATCCATTCTTCCAGTGTTTAATTTCATTTTATAAAAGGTAAAGTAAAATGTGTAGTTTCTCTTCCTTTTCTTTATGGGGGATACAATTTTTAAATGATGAAATAGGGTTCAATTATGTTTTTCTGTCTGTTTTTGATTGCAGATTATTCGAGAAGTGTCTTGTGGAGCTGTCCATGTAGTTGCTTTGTCTGAAGAGGGTCTACTACAAGCTTGGGGTAACTCAGTTATTCATTCTTCATTTACAGTTTTCTTTCTAAAATTATATTATTTATATATGATTTGTGAATTTTATGTCGATGATTGCCTTTATTGATTGGCATGGATGGAGGCATATAAATTTGCACAGCATTGAATGTAGGAAATAAACTGTGCACTTGCAAACTGGGTTTCTTGCCCACTACTAATCAGGGTTTTCTCACTGTTTTCATAAACCAGGCTACAATGAATATGGTCAACTTGGCCGAGGTGTTACTTGTGAAGGACTACAGGGTGCTCGTATTATAAGTTCTTATGCTAAATTTCTTGATGAAGCCCCTGAGCTTGTGAAGATTGCCAGAGTGTCATGCGGGGAGTACCACACAGCAGCCATTTCTGAAAAGGGCGAGGTGTAAGTGATTTGAAAGGACTTACTAGATGGAGATAGTTATAAATTTAAGCATGAGAATTGTGGTTTTCCGCATGACACATTAGGGAATCTCACTTCAGGAGACAAGATGCAATGGAAATGCTGCATCTATTATGCAAGTTTCTATTCCCTTGGCTTGGTTATACATAAACGTCGACTGTAGTTATACATAACTGGAGCCAACCGAGTAACCGTGTTATATTATATTGAGTGTCCTTAGTTTATGTAGGTTATGTAGTTTCTATTTTGCGTAAGGATCTTGTTCTGCTTAAATGGTATTATTGGGAATGCATAAGCAATATTACCAATAAGTAGTTATTAAATTGGGTTGCTTCTTATAATACTTCCTCACTTGTTATATTCGTCCTTGGATCTTACAGTTACACATGGGGGCTTGGAACTATGGGCCAGCTTGGGCATTCTTCACTCCAGTATGGTGATAAAGAATTACTGCCAAGGAGGGTGGTTACCCTTGATGGTATTCTCATAAAGGATGTGGCATGTGGTGGTGTACACACGTGTGCTGTAACTCAGGGAGGAGCACTTTATGCATGGGGAGGTGGTCAGTCTGGGCAGCTAGGGCTTGGGCCCCAAACCGGATTGTTCTCGTGTGTTGTTTCTAATGACTCTCAGACATTTTTCCGAAACATTCCAGTTTCAGTTGTTCCTAAAGGTGTTCAACTTGTTGCGTGTGGACATTGCCACACTCTTATCTCTATGAGTGATGGTCGAATTCATGGATGGGGTTACAATAATTATGGTCAGGCAGCCAACGAGAAATGTACATATGCTTGGTATCCATCACCAGTTGACTGGTATGTATTTGTAACATCAAAGAAACTTTGTCATGATCACACAGGCTTTTATGTTGAAGTTTCCTAACCACAGGTGTGTTGGGGAGGTACGGAAACTTGCTGCTGGTGGTGGACATTCAGCTGTGTTGACTGATGCTTGTTCGTTAAAGGAGTTATGTGAGTTTGTACTAGCAGATAACATGACTTTATCCAACGCCGCTAAGGTTGAGGATATTGCATATAGGACTGGATCAGATGCTCTGGCACGCCTTTGTGGAAGACTCAGGTATATGTGTGGTGTTTATGATTTTTTACATAAACTGCAACTCAATTACAATATCATTAATTTATGGGATGCGGCTAACATATTCATCAACAATTTATTAATCGTTGAAATGAAAAACAATTGGTGTTGGTGGAAGAGCATAATATTTGAGTTGAATCGGGGCTTCCGGTTGTTTTTGAATAAAAATGCTGGCACAATTGCCTGGTTATTGTTTTTTTATTTTTTCATGCACTAATATGATACAGTTGTTTCCCCTGTCACGTTTCTTTCCTATCTTAGCCTTGTTATGTCTTCAATGAATGAAATGCTGATGTTGGGGCAACAACTTAATGGCAGAGAATATATGCTTGCTGGTGGAGCTCTGGAACAAGAGGATGTGATGAACAGTAAAATCTGACTAATCATATAAAGTTAGTATTAGTAATTACTTGTGCATATAACGTTATGTGGTACATGTATTCATAATTAGAGAACGTCGTCATTATTTGAACAAAAGCAATCATGCAATTTGTTCCTATTGAATCGACAGGTCACTAACTCATGTAAGAGATTTCTCAAACATTTGAATGAACTCTTTATCTAAATCAGACTCTTTATTTATGTTGATTAGCTACTGTATATGTGTTTCTACTTTGTATCTCTGCAAAACCATGAAAACAATATTACTTGTTGAAAGGTTATCCGTACATGGACGATGTTCACCGCTTTTGAGTACTATGCCATTGCCAACAACATTAAGTTATCTTAACCAAATCAAGTTTCTATGAACATTTTTAAAAGGAGTTTTTAATAAGAATGATTTAAGAATAAAATTAAATATTTTATTATAGGATGCATGTTTAAATTGTGTAAAATTTAATTTATTTAAATAATTTTTTTTTTAATTTTAAGTAATTTTTTTTAAATAATTTAAATATAGGACCTATAATAAATATTTATTTTTATTCTTAAACCATTTTGGGAACAACTTGTTCTGAATGCTCTAAGTCAGTTGCAATTTGCACCCCTGCTTGACTTTCCAATAATCATCTTTAAAGACATTAATGGCCTGTCTTTTTGGCGGGATTGACCTATTTTCCGAATGATAAATCTTTACGTAACATATTCAATTAAGTCTTGAATAGGTGTAATTCCTTGTTTTGACCATTTTAGGATCCAAACACGTTTTTGTAATTGAACTTTCAATCTAATTTGCCCTTTAATATAATTTTAAATGAAAGAAAAATCGATACGAATGAAATCATGCAGGCTTCGAGCATATTAAAGTTAAGTCTCTTCAAATCAAAACAAACTTAATCCCCGAGTCTGAAATGCAAAATAGAATTTACGACTACATTATGCGGATGGTCGAATTTACATTTCTTTTCAATGTTTTCGATCTTTTCATTCATCTTTATCCAAACTGGGTTTAACACAAGAACCTTAAACCCTCTGAGAAAAAAGAAAAAGAAAAAAAAGGACGTAGTCTATGGAAAAATAACTTGCAACAAGTAACCATGAAGCACCATATCTCAAAATAACTGCTTAATAGCATTGATTTCAGAATGAAGCCATGCAATCAGTTTGAGCAGTTATTAAGCTCGGCATATTTAGCTATTCTAAGATATATATAGTTGAGGGTTACACATTAATTATATGATACGTCACGTACTTGCTGTAACCATGTCAGCCTAACTTGTAAGTAGTCAGACTCGCAGCATCCATGGTGGGATCAGAGAATTTCCTGTTGGAACTCTCTGAGCTTCACCTGTTTCATCCACCATTCCTCTTCCTTGCAATGTCCCGCTGCATCATTTTCACACTTTAATCATTCAACTTGGCTAATATAATATATTCTATGCATTCTTTTTCCCACGTTACAGATAAACTTATCCAAATTCACTTCATACGTCTGCTTAAAATAGGGAATTAAGATAAAGTACCTGAGAGTTAAAGAAGGAACAAGTCTTTGTGGTGGAAATAGCTGTGGAGAAGATAAGTTGAGGTTGGATGAATTTTGGCCAAGAGTTTCCGGGACGCTCTGTGGACTTTCATTCAAAGTCTTTCCCTTTTCCTTCATCTATAGTCATTAATTTAATTAAAGCGAAAACCTTTTTTTTATCCTTTGTTGAATAAAAGATTTAGATTGAAATGTTAGTTGAGGAATATGTGGCTTCTCTACCTTTGTTAGCTTGCTGTTTTGCTCTTGTAATGTCCTTGCCTGTCATGTCATATGCACAACAAAATTTTATCTTTACAAATCCCACATGTTTTTATGCACAAACCCTCTTAGCAGTCAGAAGAAAACTAATTACATTCACTCCAGCAGAAATTTAATTCCATAAACTCTACGATTACTTCGGGTATAGTGTCATACTGTTTGCTTCTGTATGATAGTAAATTGTTTTATCTGTAAGAATTTCCTTGAACATGTACTTGTTACTGCACGTGAAACTCAATGTTCCAAGCTATATACGAGTATATTATTTTAAAAACCATGCATGCAATAACAATATTCAATTTCACCCTTTAACAATCAACACAGTGATCATCTTACCCTTTTATGCAGTTCTGAGATGGATTGATTCATAACTTGATTCTGCAAAACTCAAAATGATCAATCAGATGAAGATTAAAATGGAAAAGAAGCCATGTGTACTAATGTTAATTCTTTACTTATAAGATTACATTATGTATTCACTCGTGTTTTATTGTTTCTATTTTCTTATTTCTTGTAAATTAACAAGAAGCACTGTTTACCTTTCTTGTCCGAATGCGCTTCAGAGATGTGTCAAGCTGCTGCTCCAAATTCTGAAGCTCTTTCAAACTCAAGGGATCCAGCTCATTTCCCATGAAATTCCTATATCAAAAGTCATTTTTTATTTAACAAGTTCTACTTATGAATCAATAAGTTTTAACTACAAGTAGACTAGCATTGGTATCACTCTTGGTTCCATATTAATTATTATGTCACAGCACTTTTTATTTTTGTTTGTTTGAAAACTGAAATGATCTTGGAAAAATGTAAATTACTTTCAAACGTTGTTCTTCATAGAATGGAAGAAAGCAAATGTTGGCCACATGAAATGTAAATAATGTACCTTACGTTCCTCTCCAAGACTTCAACTTTAGCTGTGAGCTTGATATATTCGAAAGACCAATTACCCTACAATGAAATGATCTTCAGTTACCACTACTGCTGTGACTTACATCGAAAAATCTATATTCATATTCACTTTCATGCATGTGTAGAACAAGGACCATGGGTATTAGAAAAAAACATGTTAAAATGTGATTATTAATGTCCTAGTTATAATTAAAGGAGTCTAAACATGATTTGTCATTCTTTTCTTTTAGTCATCATTAGTTTTTGTTAGTAAAATAAAATCTATTCTTCCTTCTTTTCTATTTTTACCACTAAATCAATCTTGTTAACAGAAAGTTTTCTGTGTTATTATTCTCATCGTAAGAGTATTATTCCTAATCGGTGTTTTTAACTTCTAAACACAATTTATATATCAATCTTCACCAAATTTATAACTGATGCATTGCTTATATATAAACATTATTAGTTATATAAGCAATGTTGTTTAAAGTATTATTCTTTAAATGAAAAAAAAGCTAATAGAAAGAATATATTGAACAGTAACATCTAACAATAAAAAATGAAGTTAAACACTTTTTTTTTCAGATTTGGTATTAGAGTTAATTTTCTGAAAAAAACATTCAAATTTATATTTTATTGTAAAACAAACTTTTTTAAGATAAATAATTAATTTTCTAACAAGAATTAGAAATAAGACTTAATACGTTTTTTTTTCATAGTTATGTATATTCCTTAATATATGATAATATATATAAATGATTGTGAGATTATTTACAAAATATCATATATAATATATTTTTTTATTTTGTAGAAAAAATATTTAAAATGTATATGAACGATTATGCCTAATTAAGTGATAATGTTACCAAAGCATAAAAATGAAACTCATAACATATCCACAATATATTTGAACACGAAGTACCTGCGATTCATTGTTAGGTCCAGTAAGTGTTGTATGGGCATATCTCTCGTAACGTTCCAACACGTCTTCCATGCTGTTACATAGTCAAAATAATAACTTTAAAACAAATACAAATTTACTAAATCAAAATTACAAAATAAAAAAAATACAAATTCTCTATTTAGTTGAGATTAAAAAAAAAATTCTTCCTAATCAATTATATCTTTGTTTTTTTAACTGAAAAAGGTTGTAAAATGCAACATAATAAATTATATTGAATAAAATAATTAATTATGTTTTGGTCATTTCATTTTTTTTTTCACTTTTCTTAATAAAGATTCTATAGATCCTTCTCTTCCCTTTCTTCACTTTTCTTCACATTAAATTGCTAGGCCTCTTCTCTTTTTTGCATTTCAAAGTAAAACTAGTGATTTTATTTTTTGCTTTGAAGTACTCTAAATATTTTAGAAACTACACACATTCAGCAAAAAGTGACAACCAACCAGATGCAATTCAGAAAAATAGTTAATCAGTATATGCTTATGAAAAATAATAGAATAAAAGGTTTAATTTTAGGGTGAAGTTTAATGCTTTAAATATGTCTATTTTTTTTTAATATAATTTTCACTAAAACAAATTCTATTCATATTTTAAATGTGCAACAATTACGTAAAAAATAAATAAATAGAGATGAGTATAAGACAATTTCATTAAACTTTTCCTATTAAATAAATGTTTATAATTTTTCTTAAGAAAACTTAAAATAACATATAAAAAGGAAATAGAGATGAGTAATATTTTGCACATTTTGAAACATAAAAGGGTGTGACCTTGGCCTATGAGTTTTTGAAGATTCTCCTAGGATTTGCTAATATTTAACTTTAGTTTGAGCTTCCACCTACACAACTCCTGAGTGTCAGACTGCACGGAAAACCATGCATGCATTCTTATTTCATGTTCAACGAACTAGTCCTGTAGTTAGGTCTATGTATACTGTAGCTACCAACCTCTAAAGATCTAAAGATTAGGTTTGTTGCAACTTTTCTCCTTTTTCCTTTCTAAGTTAAATTGAGGTAGTAGTCTCTACACAAAACAAACTAATCCTGAGAATCAAAACAATATAGAGCAGAGAGATTATCACGGCTTAGAGGGCTAGTTGTGTATGGGTAATGCAATATTTTTTGCATCAGTAATATTTGAACTAAAGAAAATAAGTAAGAATTAGAACCTAAGTTGGAGAGTACGTATGTATGGTTAAGATTGGAATCAACTCAACCAACTTGAAATTAACTTGATATTTATATAGTTAACTCATTTTTGAACTTATTTTTATGAATAAATAGGGTTGAACGTAAATATTGAACTCATTTAAATAAATGAGTTGAAGAAAAGATCATACATGTTCTTTGTCGTATCTAAAACAGTGTTATGTTTCAACTCGCTCACTTCTTCGAGACTTGTTCTGTTTTTTCTTTCACTAGTTCTGATGACTCATTCCTGTGAGAGACATATTTGTCACTATTGATTGCATTAATCTTTATCATCTGACCTTGTCATCGCTTGTGGATCAACTTGTCATACTTACATTCTACTCTCTTAGACTCATCAGTTGTTTTTGGACTTTGAACTTTTCATTGCCTTGTGCAAAGATATCAAGTCCTCTATAACCCTAATCCCATCCATGATTATTTTTGTTTCATCAAATGTATCGCACTGTGTTTCTTTTTTCTCTTCAGGCTTATACCATCAAGATTAGACCTAACAATAATGTAGATTGGTTTAAAGACTCATCCTATGGCTTATGGAGAGGGTGTCATTGGATCATGAAGGAGCTCAAGGCAAAGGTCATAGGTGGCGCAAAAACATGAATCCATCTCAGCATACAAGTTGGAGTTGGTGGAGAGTTACACAACTGAATGACTTGGAGAAGAAGCGTTGGGAGTTTCAAACATCCATCATCTACACATGTATATGTATATAAGGATAGAATGAAAGGAGAGAAGGTAAAGGTTAATAAGTACTTTGTTTGAATATGATTGAGTTGTCTTACAATCACTAAGTGTGAAACTGACCAGTTTGTAGTCTTTATCCATTCATTCCCAAACCAACCACCAGCTTTGTCGTGTAGTTTATGTTAACTACATTATCATATCTAGAAATTACAATGTTGACATTCTAGTCTTAAAAATATTATGTAAAAGGTCAATTACATAAGTAAGGTTTTGAGTACGTACTCTCAAAAACCAAATCTACTTCTAGCATAGCCAACATAATTATGGTTTGAACTTTATAAGGAAACGAACACGACTGTTTCTAAACCTAGCCATGGATTCTTATGCCAAGTTACTCCTAAGTAAGGAGAAGGCATATTGAGAGTTTCAAGAAAAAAAAATCTTAAAAGAGGTGTAATAACAACTAATGTCAACAAATTTAAATAAGAACATTGTGAGATGATCATCAAATCCCTCGTAGTCTCACGTTGTAACAAACTTAGCAAATATGATTTGTAAGGAAATGTTTCAATGTGACATATGTGGGCATTAATTTCATACACTTATATATGTTTAAGATTTGGTTAGCATTTATTATGTATAACATTACTTTACCTCACTTATATAAGAATCGTATTGGACAAATAATTAATTTTAAATAACATAACTAAAGAATTATGATAATATATATAATAACTATTTGTAAATTATAAAATAAAGTAAGAGGTCAAGCTATTCTAAAAATAATTTTAACATCTCAATCTTTTATTCTCCTTTAATCTAGTAGTCAAGTATGATTTACATTGTATTAAAAGAAACGGGAGAAATTAAAATAATAAGTAACTTTACCCTTAAAATAATTTAATCCCACCTAAAATTACAAAATTTAAGTTCAACATATCTACAGCTATATGTAAAGTTGAGTTTGTTTGATTAAGAAAACATACTTAAGAAATTTAATTAATCAAATTCAAATGAATCACGAACAAACAACTCATACATACACCCGTACGTACACAGAAGCAATATATGCAAAGCATATTTTCATCTTTTTACGCTGCAAATATATATCCAGTGCATATCAGGTTCTCATTATATTAATAATGAGAAAGAATAAAGTGTTCTGGAGAATAAACATTTTAGTGTATATTAATATAGAAAGTGGCAATGATTAGACACGAAAGATATAACACAACAAATGTCCTAGCCCTCAAGAATTAAAATGAAAATATTTAGTACAATCTAATATCTGCATTTATCAGAATGTAGTATATTCTATAGAACCGCAAAAGCTTGCATATCCATTTCATTTCAGTGTTTTGTTTTCGGGATTAGAGAGGTAGGGTAAAGCAAACTTGTGTTTTCTGTTTGTTATAGTATTTAAAGGATGTTTAGTTTTATATATTTCATGAACCTATGGAAATTAAATCATCTCAAACTTGTGCAGTGTAATTATTGAACTTTCGGGTAAGATCCATTGCATCTCCCTTGACATTATCTTCCAAAAATAATTAAAACAATGCATCTATAGATCTTAGAGGCTTCGTACGTCCAAGCTGTATTTCCATAACTTCATTCTCATATTTTTACACATATATCAAATTATATTTTCCACCAGCTCAATCATGATGACCCTAAACCCTAGTTCATCGTATTTATAATTTATAATATACAATACAAACAGATGTTACAATTTTAAGCTCCCGTCAAATCTTCTACAGTTGTCTTGAATGTATGTTCTTTATTAGCTAGTAACCGCTGGATAAAAATTTCATGAGCGCATTGAAATAAAAACTTATTCAATTAATTTCACAATGTGAATATATGAACAGTAGTTGTTATGAAATATGGTACTGTTAGTTTCTTATTATAAGATGTTCTTCAAATGGTGATTCAGCATAATATAAAAGACTATTTTTTTTCATCAATTCAGCCCATTTTTACTTTCAAATGAGTTATGTCAAAATAGTATTAATTATTTGTATTAAATGATTTGGTTTGTGTGTTTAAAATAGTAAGTGTGGCTTTGTCAAAACAGAAAAACTTCACCTGTGTGGCTATGTTTTTACCTTTTTTAACGAAACCAGAAGTCCAGTGTTCAGAAGCCTTTTTCAGTTAGTGTGTGACTACTTTTGCTAAATTCTAAAACAAAAGATACCATTTTGCGTCACCTATTGGATTATAAACAGTCATGGGTTAAAGCGGCACCTGTTGGATCATAAATAGTCATTGCTTGGAGCTGTTATGTGGATAATGGTTTTTGCACACATTTCAAAACATTCAAACTGTGAATCAAGTCTTTTGATACTTTTAGTGAATAGTTTTTGTTTGACACTGCATCAACAAAAAATGTTTCTCGGTACTACTGTTGAACAAACATCCATTAAGGTTTCAACCATACACAAGCATGCAGATACAGAGGCTTCTCATTACCCAGTGGATCAAAGAAGCCACGCTACTAGGATAAAACCTTGTAGAGCACATCACTCCCTTCCAAGGTGACACAAAGCTCTAGGGTGATATATTAATTAATTTTAGGTATAGTTTTAATCGTATATTAATAGAAAAATAACATGGGGATTGACTTGTGTATTTATAGTACACATATCTACATACATATAGTTATAAATAACAAAGAAACCACACGTTGACGCAGACATATAAAACTCTTATGTCTTAGTGCTATATATATATATATATATATATATATATATATATATTCTATAAAATCATTTAAAGAAACTTTAAAAAAGCAAAGAAATCTTCCATTACGAGTTCATGACTTATATATGTAACGAGGGAAAAAGTAAGGATAGTGAAATATATGTGACAGATCAAAACTAAAGTTTTAAAAGAAAAAAAAACATAGCGTTGAAAGTATTGTATTACTGATCAATACTACTATTTTATTGGTGGAAAGTTTTTTAGCACTGTGCCATTATAGTTAAGAGTAAGGTCAAACAAAGCAGAAAGATAATAACCAAAATCAAGCAGAGAAAGAAACATGGACGTTTAAATTACTGAGAACACAAAATTAGGAATTATGATACATGTTTCCATAACGAGGGGAGTCATGTATAAAACGAAAACAAAAAAAGTGGATTCAAAACAAGAAAAAGAGCAAAGAAAGGAAAGGAACAAGAAGAAAAAGAAAGTGGAGTGATGGACGAGGATAGGAACCTGCGTTCAGAGGAATACTCAAAAAGTTTGCCTTTGGTAGAGAACATAATCAAAGCGACTTGAGCATCACAAAGAACAGAGATTTCGTGCGCCTTCTTGAGAAGTCCCGTTCTCCGCTTGGAAAACGTGACTTGCTGGCTTGTTTTGTTCTCGATCCGCTTGAGCTGAACCCTACCCCTTCCCATCGCACTAGTATGCTAATTCTACGAAAGCAGAAGAAGAATTATTAGCTGAAAAGGAGAAACAGAAGAGAGAAAGGAATAAAATATATGTGGATAGATACATGTAGAGAAGGTTAGTTGAGTTTGTTTGTATAAAGAAGGAAACCCTAGAGAGAGTGAGAGTGAGAGTGAGAGTGAGAGTGGTATTTGAGGTGAAGAAACGGAGTCTGAGAAAAGAGAAAGAGAAAAAGAGCATGAAGGGAAAAGGAAGGGAGGGTGTCTAATAATAGAATAGAATAGCATGGGCATTGGAGTTTGATTTAAATTTTCTATTTTTGTGTTGGGAAATAATGGCGAAGGGAAAAAAAGAGAGGGAATAGAATAAAATTGGGAAAGGAATGGAAGGGAGGTACGATGCGTTGTCGAGTTGTGATTGGAGGAGATGTTGGGGTACAATGCGTTGTCGAGATGGAATTGAAGAGAAGTGAAGTGTCGTGTTGACAGGGCGTAACGTTGGGAGACAGGCCGTACGAGGATGTGGGTCCCAGGATAAGATAGGAACGGGAAAGAGATTTGTTGTGTTGCGTTTATGGCACTCACCCTTTGCCTCTCATTGGTTGACGGCGCCCCCTCCCCCCCCTTGCCTTCTCTTACACCAAGGCTTCTTTTCTCATACACCCTACCCTATCTATGTCATTACCATCCACGTTTACCTTCAATTCTTTATTAATTCTCCAACCTCATATCATATAATTTTAACTCCAATACTTACACTTAATATTTTATAGAGGATCCCTTGTGGTGCTTCGCAACTTACCCTCATCATAACTTATTCTATTATAACGTGTTATTCACTAAAAAATGGATTAAAACAGACTCTCAAATCCATGCTCAATAACCTAATCCGGACCCACTTCCCCACGCAATTAAAAACAAAAGAAATTAAAGCAAGTGGATTACGTTGAGTAAAATAAATGGATATATACAAAAACAGGCTCAAACTTATAAATTTGGTATATGCTTGTTATGTTATGTTATGTGCCCCTGTGGTCCATCAACTCAACACCTTAATTTCATATTATGTAGTACTATTAAAAGACTAAACTATTACGTGGTCCCATTTTTATTTCATTCTTTTTCGCCCTACTTTCCTCTCATCCTTTCTTCCTTTTTCTTCTAAGGGAAGAAATTAGGGATCTAAGCTAGGGTTCATATACAGCTCATTATTATCGGGACCATGAAATTTAATGGTCACAGACTCCTAAGAATTATTAGCTTCAAGATAGAGGATTACTTGGACAAATTTATACACACAATAAGGTTAATTTTAGTTTATGAAAAATTATATCTATTTTGTTTATTTTTCTAAGTTGTATAGAGAAACTTGTCTAGATAAATCTTAAAACATACATAAACATCTTATTCGTAGGTGTTATGGGTATATATGAATTTTGTTGATTAAATTTTATTAACAAAATTCTACTTTTTTGAAGAGTACTATAATAATATAATAAAAAATATACTTTAACCACTCAAATTCATATAACTTTTATAAACAATTCTCTTTTAATATTATAATAATAATTTTATTTTATTTTTATTAAATCATTCTATAAATTATTATATTAATAAATATCACCCCTCTAATATAACAGACGTGAGATTATGTAACGGTCATGATAAGTGCACCGTAGACACTTTGAAACGATGGTGCACGTGCATCCTAAGATTGGTCATGAATTAATACTAATTCCCCGTTTTGATCCAATACAAAACCGAACCTCGATCGCAAAGTTTCTGGCCTGTTAGGTGTATTGGGCCTTTCTTATTTTGCCAAACAGTCACTACAAGAAATTTTATAATTAGCTAGGAAAATTAGTTACAAAATTTATTTTTCACTAATTTGTAGCTAATTAGCTATGGAACAGTGAAAGAATAAAGTTCTAGCTAATTTGTAGTAAAATAGCTAGAAAACTAATATTTTTGTAGTTATTCTCTCACTTAACAAAAAAATAATTTAGTTAGGAAAATTTTTGTCACTAATCCCTAGCTATAAATATTAGCTATATTACTTTTTGAAGTTATTTCCTAGCTAAATTATGTAACATACAATTATAGTTAAACTGTAGCAAATTTATAGCAACTATCAAATTGAAAAAAATATTAAATTATTGGGAACCATTCTTATAAATTATTTTGGTTTTATAAAAAATTATTTATAAAAAATAATTGTAAATTTCTCTAAAAATATATAATTATAAAACATATAATTTTTGATCTTTTTGAAAAAATATCAATAAAAATTAATTACAATTTTTTCTTAAAAAATTATTTCTACCAAATTTATTATAAATATATAATTATATATAATTGTTTTTATCTAAACTATTTGGAAATAATTATAATTTTTTTTAAATATCTAAAATTTTTGATAAATATTTAAAATGATTTTTTGTAAGTTTTTTATAAATTTAAATTTGTTGGAAGTATTTAATAATATTTAAATTAATAGAAAATTTTATAAATAATATTTTTTTATAATTCTTTTAATAAAAATCCTAATTAATCTTTTTCCCATTTTCTTCATGTATCCTTTTCTTCTAAAACCTAACTGGCGCTATAGCTATCATCGCTCCCGCGTCGTTCTTACTACCGCTCCTGCACCATCCTTGCTTCTGCTCTCGTTATAATACGAAACCTGAGGTTTAAGAAAACACTTTACCTAGGGTTTTATTTTATTCTATTTTCTTCTCTTCTTCCCTAGGGTTTTAACGCTAGGGTTTCAGTGTTCACTCTCTATTTTTCTCTCTCACTCTGTTTCTCTTTCTTTGGGCATAGCCATGGATAGGTACCAGAAGGTGGAGAAGCCTAAGCCCGAGTCTCCAATCAACGAGAATGAGATCCGAATCACAACCCGGGCGCTATTCGCACCTACATCACCTCGGCTCCTTTAATGTTCGATTACCTTTCGTGAGAAACCTTCGCCTTTTGTGCGGATTGGGGTTTTCATTCGGGGTTGCATTTTCGGGCTTTGAGACTTAGTTTTGTTTATTTGTTTGTTTGTTTGCTAAATGCTAGTGTGTGGGGGTTGGATTGGCAGGGTTTGGTTTGTGATATGTGGCATTTTGTATTTTTGTTTGTTTTCGTATGACCTTTGATTTTGGAAACTCTTTATTTGCGATAGAAAATGTTTTATGTGGGTTGAGTATTGAGATTGTCTCCTTAGTTTCTGGATTCAAAGCTAAAGCACCAGTAACATGTGGAGTTCAAAGCAATGAGAATAGACTTTTCGAAGAGAACCAAATAACATGAACTGCATAATCACGGAGTACCTCTTTCTTTTGTTACTTTTTCCCCTTGGCTATTAAGCTTATTTATTTATACAACAATTACATAGGCCTTTTTGCTTCCCACTTGGCATATTTATGTGATGTTGGGTTGTATTTTATCTCAAGTTCATTGAATGAAAAAATCAGCCGCATGATCGCCTTACGCACCACTTTTAAATATTTCATTTAGTAATATTGAATCTGTCAGCGTTAAAATTTACAAACTAAAGCGAGTTCATTGATTGAGAGACATTCATTTCTTCACCCTTCTTGTAAATGCTTCGAACCAATAAATATTAGTTAATGTTGGATCACCGATAATTTCCATCACATGCCCTGTATTCATGACTCAATGATATCCATATTTTCCGGTGAAGTGAAACTTTTGAGTAAGTATTATGTAAACATTGATTGAGATTATAGAAATATTTTTTTCATAGACAGAGATTCTAAGTCATATTCTTTTTTGGTGACACAATGCTAAATCATACTAACATGTTCTCCCAACAATACAATTTATGGGACCTGCATTGAGAGTTATTGCAGGTACCATGTATGCTTGGAGCAACACTTAAAGATTGAGAAGGTGAGTAATTTGGAGCACAACTTCCAATGGTTGGGTCATTTGGTGCCACTATTTCTACCTGTTTTGCACTTGGGTCATTTGGTGCTACATAAAAATTCCCTTCACTTAAAATGGTTGGGTTAGCACTACCTCCTATAGCATACATTTTCTACTCATCATATTTGTTGTTGACCACATGGGCGTAACCAAATCTTACCTTGCATTTTCATCCAAGTGAATACAGTATTTATTTCCATCGAACATGCAAATTCAATCCATAGAAAAATCACTCTTACCTTGGCATCCTTTAATTAAAAACATATGTATGTGCCCAAATTCTAAGAAGGGGGATAGGTAGCAACGTGGTTACTATGGGTTTGCATAATTTAAAATGATCCGAAGATGCATTTTAGATGGTGAAACATGCGGCTATAATTGCTGATTGGAACAAACTATACTTGGTGGTTTATGATATGGTAATAATTGTACATGCATAATAAACTACGAAAGAGGATTGTTTAACACCTTTTTCTACTAGCAGTTTGATTAAAATTTGTTAAAAATTACAAAAGCATGAAAGTATTAAATAAGAAGTGAATCTTGCTAAAATTTATAATTTGCAACAAGTTTTAGTCTAAATAGAAAGTGTATTGCTAATATTCTTTAATTATGAAAATATTGAAGTAATTTTTTACTATTGATCTTTGGGTTTATTGGATTATTTATATACGAGATACCACTGCTTTGATTTCCGTAAAAAACTCAAGATATATTAAGTAGATAACAAATATGTGTTTCTTTCTTCCCTTAATAAATAAAAGCCAGCCACATAAGTTTGTAAAGAATTAAATTGGGGGAAAACTTTTCATACATCACAACGCTCGAACATTTGTGAGTTTTTGGCTATCCACACATAGATTAAGATTTTTCGATTTCCAATTTGAAGTTATACTGTTCTTTATAACTTAGTACTAATGAATAGGGTTCTAGAATCAATAACTTCACTGAAAATCTTCCTCCGCACCTTGGAAACCTTTCTCGCATTAAAAGATTGTAAGCCCTGTATTATATCCTACTTGATTTATTTTATTTAACTTTGTCTGCTGAATTATCAAGCTACAATAGAGAAAAAAATCATAAGATGATATTTGAATATCGGTTACATATTATGATATTATTGTATATGAGTTTTTAATTGATATTGGGAGAAAATTCTTATCATATTCCCTCACATTAAAAAGATTTTTTCATAAAAACTTTTCCATTTTTTTAAAACTTTTATCTAGTTACAAATGTTATTACTTTTAAATAATTATTATAAAAATTCATAAATATTTATCCTAGAAAAACTACATCCCAAGGATTTTACTATCTTAAATATTAATGTTATGAACAGATCCATTCATGCTATGATGTTAAGTTTTATTGTGCCTATAGAACCAATAAAGGTTCCACCATATTTTATCATAGGTTGTAATGAAGTGTTCACCTTCATTGGGCAGTTAGAGTTCTTCTATATATTTTTCTGATCTTTGTTGATTCTGTAGTTGGATAAAGACTGCTGGTGAAAATAAAAAAGGTAGAATTTATGGTATAGGTCAGAGTTTGGATCTTGGTATTTCACATGTTTCATCTTCATCAGTTGAAGGTCCCTCTTCCCAAAATCTTACCACACCTCTCACTCGAAGAAATCACTACCTTAGCTACACGGATATCTAGTTTGCAAAAGCGAGATGAAAACACGATTGCGAGCACAAGCTCGATATGCAAGCATTGATGCAAGCACAAATGAAGATACAAGCGTAAATGCAAACACTCATGCAACAACAAATGCAAGAAGAAATGCAGTCTTTCAAGAAAGATATATTATCCGTCTTAAAGAAACAATGATGAAAACATACTTTAAACTTTGTTTCTATTTGTAATTGTGTTATACGAGAACTTTTTAGTTGAAATATTATTTTTGTTATGTTTTAATTGTTTGAAACATCATTTTAACTATGTTTAAACAATACTTTTATATTGAAAGTTGATAAGTTTGTCTTCTTTTTTAAGAATGAGTAATAATTTAAATATTAAATATTTGATATTATAAATTTTGATAAAAATTATGAGGGATTAGCTATGAAATAGTGAGAAAAACATTGGAAAGGATTAGCTACGGATTAGCGAAGAAATAATTGTGAGGCATTAACCACTAGCTAGAGATAAATTGTTAGGGATTAGCTACAGATTAGCGAGAGAAAAATTGTGAGGGATTAGCTACGGATTAACGAGAGAAAAATTGCGAGGGATTAGCTACGGATTAGCGAGAGAAAAATTGTGAGGGATTAGCTATGGATTAGCGAGAGAAAAATTGCGAGGGATTAGCTACGGATTAGCGAGAGAAAAATTGCGAGGGATTAGCTACGGATTAGCGAGAGAAAAATTGCTAGGGATTAGCTACGGATTAGCTACAAGTTTTGGGAGATCAAATTAGCTAGGGATAAACAAAATCTCATCATTTAAATTAGCAAGGGATTTAGCGACAGTTTAGCGACAAAATTTGCTACAAGTTTGAGAGAGAATACATTTGTATCTAATTAGCTACTTGGATTTAGCTACGGACTATTCCATAGCTATTCCGTAGCTAATCTGTAGCAAAACATACCAGCGAGAGATTAGCTATAAAATAGCTACAGAATGTGTCATAACTAATATGTAAAATTCTTGTAGTGAGTGTTCAGATATTTCTGTCAACACGCTGATAAGCCCATAAGAAAGGCTGATCAAGCCCAATATGCGGAGGGTTTTTACGAAAATGAGCTCGATTAATCTATTTATTCATGAAATGAGTACTTAACGAAGTAGAATCTCATGTTAAGTAAAATAAAACCGAGCATTTCATGTATGTACATATATTTTTCAAAATATGTAAAGTCATAAAATGAGCATAATTTATTTATGATACCAAATCAAATATAAAATAAAACATTGAAATTAAAAAGTTCATAATTAGTTGAGAATTAGATAAAATAAACCAGGTTATTGTCCAAAAGACCTAAATTGTGGATGAGAAAACCAGATATCGAATACTGAAAAGAGAAAATTATGAATAGAAAACTGAGCTTATATGAAGTGAAGATTAGCACGCGATGCAACAGAAGAAAATTATAAGTGGTAGTTCAGATAGCTAATAATGAGAAAAGAAAAGGATGGGATCCTTGAAAAGATACTCAATGTTATAAATTTCTTACATGCCATATGTGTATGGCTGAAGGTTGAAAAGTTTGAACAAGTCACAGCTGTTTCTTATACTAAAATAAGAATAATAGAAACATGGTTGCATTTACACCTTGCAACACCAAGAAGCATTTGGCTTTGCCCTTTTGTGTGGTGTTTTGCTTTTATGTCTCCAACTGAATACTGAGCCTAATTAGCTCAAAGCATCCACCCTGGAATGAAGCCACTCACTTGTTGAGCTGGAGTTGTTGCAGTCATCTGATCTGAAGCTACAGCATTGTACCTGTAATCGGGACTGAACAAAAGGGACACACGTTAAAATATAGTTCAGATCACACTGTTCAAATCAACATTTTTTGATCATATATTACCCAATCTGCAAAGTGGGATTGCATTCCAGTGGCTGGAAGAAGCCCTGAGAGTGAGAATTCTGTGGAGCACCATATTGCATACTTTGATCACCAGCTTCCCATGACTGCCTGTAGTGATTTCTTGAGTTGATTTCTTCCAGCTGGTAACAAGTAGTAGTCATGAATCATGTCATCAGAAGGGGACCTTAATGTGAAAGGACTGAGTAAGTTTGAAGATTTATATCAACAATATGCTGAATAATATGATAGACCAGAATGTAGATGCAGGGTAGTACTCCTAAATTCATTAGAAGAATCCAAAATATCTAAGCTGTATGAAGTATTACATTAAGGCTGAGGTGAGAGGTATGTATATCTATGCTACAAACACATCTTTGTAGGTCGTAGAAGAACATTGTGGATAATGGTACCGTATTACCTTCATTGTCAAGGATCTGTTTGCTTCTACCAACATCTGCTCCTGTAACAAAAAACGATAGCAATAGCTTGAAATTATTAGGCATCCATAGAGTTGCTTTATTCCTTTCAATTAGGTCAAACAATGTACCTTGTTTTGGAGGTCAGCCAACTGATCCAGCATGAACTGTGTCTGCCATTTGATGTTTCAGAAGTACCAGATATCAAATAAGAGTCACAATAAGCGTTTCTTATAAGTTTCTTATTAAAAAAAAAGAATGTCACTTGTGACTCTTCACATCTAAAAATGTCCAAAATCTTGAATGAATCAACCTTACTCCATTGGTTTCAATTTTCTATTTAATTTCATTGTAAGAATGCTTCCTAATTCAGCATAGACTTTTGAGTTGATAAAAAATTCTTGAGACATCATGTCATAATAGTATGCTTTGAGCATATCGTGAATGATTGGCCAAAAAATGTTACAGAAAAATACTTACGAAAAGATGTTAAATCAAATGGAGGAACGTTAAGCTATACTGCGATTACTGATAAAGACTACATTAATAAGTTTAGAATATATTTGACTAAACGTCTTCGTAAGTATTTAGAAGAAAAAAGAAAGATAAAACAAATCTATAATCTAAAACGAATATCTAGGCATAAATTAATTTTAGAAGCTTTTTTCATTTTAATATTTCTAAAAAATGATTTTGATGCGTAATTAAATTTTAGTTCTATGGAAAGGTTTACCTAAACCCTTAATGCATTTTGTTTGGTGAAAAAATAATACCTTGGTGGATCTCACTTGCTTTAGAGAAGAATCCAATTGGCGTTCAAGCTGCTCAAGTTCTTTGGTATTCAGTGGACCCAAGTCTTCCCCTAAAAGATTTCTGCAGTGCCAAAGATAAACGCATTGTTCAAAGTCGTTGACTCTTGTTATTGTGATAGGCAAACTAACGAACAAATATTTAAAAATTATTTGATGATTAAATGGTCACTAGAAGTATTTTTCACATCTTATTAAGCACAAGAATTGAAAGTTACCATTGTTTTATCATAACTTTATTCATTTTTTCTTTTCTAAACACTATGTTAAATTCACCTTTGGGTCCTTTGAAGTGATTCAAATCTTGCTTTCAGCTTCAAGTATTCACGGTAGCTGCTCTGCTACAAAGGAAAAATAACAAGAATTACAAGATGTCACAATAAGAGAAAAACTATATATATATATATATATATACATGAGATAAATTGTATGCTAATAAACAGCTACAGTTCCTATACCTCGAGCTCTTTAGCAGGTTTGCTAACTTCCACAGCGCCATAACTGCATTTCTGGTACCTTTCAAGTGTTTTGAGCATGCTGAGTTTAAGATGGAAGAATAAAGGAAGAACAGTTAAATTGATGATTATTTGGATAACCATGCATAAACCAAAATCACTAAAAGGAGATGTCAATTTATCAACCTTATATATACTGTGTTTGAGTCAGTGTGAAATTGTTCTTGTATCTTAAAATAAAATTACATTACAAGTAGATGTGATGGATTTGGTGAACACAAATCTTTCATCATGATCTTATCTTTCAAACCAAATGCTGAACTAGTAAATTTAATATTGTTTGCAAGAACTACTATATATATGTTTATAAATTGATCTTAGACATGAATATTCGTAAAAAAGCATGAAATATTACACCACAAAAGTTTCTAGGTTGAGCGTAAAAATTACTGTTTGCATTGTTCATCTGTTAGACAACTGATACACTAACATGATATAAAACGATAACCATATATATGCATTTTTCCTCTTTAAAATCATTCTAATATTGTTATATACTATACCCTTAAAATCACTCTAATAAATTAAATACTACCATGAGCACGGATGCACTATATATCTTCTGTAACAAAAAATAATATATATGCACAATCTTTTTCCAGAAAGAACTGAACATTAGAATAATATTGGTATATGTCGTAAGTGACAAGCTATTAATTGTCGCAAGTGACACAGTTCAAGTGTTTAATAGAGGTAAACACTTATATTAATAAATGAAGAAATGTGTGCATGAATGTAGCATATTCATAAAAAGTTTAGCCCTAACTATTTGCTACTTTTCCAGGAACACTCCATCGATCCACACAGTGAAGCATTTATTCCCTTCTTGGTTTTTCCTTCACTTCTGAGTTCTGTTGACGTCAATCTCAACTTATATTCATCATAATCCCACTGTAACTTCCATTGCAAAATGCTTTTGAACATCGAAATTTTAAAACAAAGTTGTGCCATTTGCATAATATCCTCTAGTTGCCAAGCTATGCTATTTCCCTACCTTAAATAAAATAGAGTAAATATATTTTCAGCAGATAGCGCATTTACATTCGTTTAAATCCTAAGCAGTTTGTTTTTGTTTAGTTTCCTCGTTTATGAAATGCATTATATGGTATATTTTCATAAACAAATAACTTGAAAACATTGTTCCTGGTGAAAGATAAAATTTTAAAGACTAAAAATGACATATTTTGTTAGTAACATAAACTATATAAAAGCATATATATAACTCAAATAAACTATTCATTGTTAAAAAGAAAAAGAAATCAATAAAGTATATAAAAACACGTTAGTGTTTAGTAATCCAAAGCAATACATGTTTTTAATAACTATCCTAGGCACTGTTCTGTTGTTGGGACTTATGTCTACATCAATCATACCTAGTTTCTTGAGAAATCATAAACCCATGAAAGAAAACTCGTTCAAAAGAAGTAAATGTCTTTTTTTTTTTTTTTTTTTTTTTTACTTTTTAGCATGATGAGATCTTCCTAATTAAAGAGTATTTCTGATAAGACTTATTATATATTTTTTTAACCCTGAACTTTTCGAAATTTTAAAATTTTGTCTTTTATTAAAATATTGATCTGTGTTTAAATATGTATTACAGACATTAATAATCCAATAACTTCTCACATCATCTAAAGATATATCAGAGAAATCCGATATCATTGTTTTAGATAATTGTGCTTCGAATCTATCATTTAATCCTTAGTTAATAATGTCAAATTAATTGAAGAGTTATTAAAACACGGTTTAACTTTAAATTACATGCATGCATCTCATCATATTCTCAAATAAATGACTTGATCAGTCACTAGATCATCTATCTACATTGTTGTTATATTATTAACAAGTATTTTTTTTTTTTTTACTTATCGACAACAACAAAAAAACGCACTAGTACAAAACAGGCTTTTAACATCGGTTCCCAGGGACTTTTAACATCGGTTCTAGAACCGATGTAGATACAGCCGATGTAGAAAGTCACACTTTCTACATCGGTTCCTAAGGAACCGATGTAGAAAGTGTGACTTTCCACTTTCTACATCGGTTCCTAAGGAACCGATGTAGAAAGTCTAATATTTTTATATATTTTATTTATTTTATTTATTCATAACCCCTCTCCAATTACCCTATCTATTGATCTAGAGGTCTCCTCTCCCTTTTATATTATATTTTTATTATTTATTATATTATTTATATTTTTTAGAAATTTGATTTATTATCGATTAAGAGAATTGTCACTGGCAAGATTCGAACCCGAGTACCTTAGAGTCTGAGGCCGATACTCCAACCACTAAGCTATTAGGATTTTCTCGATAATAACTTATACATAAATTATATTTATATACAAATAAAAATGTATATCCATGTAAATATATAAATATAAAATATATAAATATAAAATATATAAATACAAATACAAATATATTTATATATTTTATATGTTGGATGTGAGGAATTAAAATATATTTTAGTGACCGATTCAAGTGACCGATTCATTGACCGAATTAGTGACCGAATCAGATGACCGATTCAAGTGACCGAATCGAGTGACCAACTGGAATCGATCACTATTTCCTTGGTCACTGATATTAGTGACCGATTCAGATGACCGATATATGAAGGGATAATATTGATATATTAATATATGAGGGGATAATATTGATATATTGATATATTTGTATATATATATATATATATTTATATATATTTATATATTGATATATTTATATATTAATATATTATAGCGAAAACTACAACCACGAGAATGCCAATTTTGTGCAGGGGCGTTTCGCTCGAGCGAGAAGACTGTCGCTCAAGCGAAAGACATTTTAGATAGCGGTTACACAGGAACCGCTTTAAAAGCTCACTTAGATAGCGGTTAACCTAGAACCGCTATGATATCGTTCAATTATGATCGATCAAAATGCAATTATGACCGATCATAATTTTGTGCAGGGGCGTTTCGCTCGAGCGAGACGATTGTCGCTCAAGCGAAACACAACCCGAGAATGCCAATTTTGTGCAGGGCGTTTCGCTCGAGCGATAAGACTGTCGCTCAAGCGAAAGACATTTTAGATAGCGGTTACACAGAACCGCTTTTAAAACTCACTTAGATAGCGGTTAACCTGGAACCGCTATGATATCGTTCAATTATGATCGATCGAATGCAATTATGACCGATCATATTTTGTGCAGGGCGTTTCGCTCGAGCGAGGGATTTTCGCTCAAGCGAAACATTTATTAATTCTATAATTTTATATAATTATTATTATTATAAATTTAATTTTCTAATAACTAATAATATTAACACATTTATTAAATTAAATTTCTTTATTTTAATTAATTATTTTAAATTTTTAAAAAATATTTTTCAAATAAATATGATAAAACTTAAAATTAATTTCTAACTAATAATATGGTTAATAGTATATTATATTATTATGTTTAATTAAATTTTAAAATAAATTTACTTAATCTTTACAATTTATATAAAAATAACTAATATAAACTTAAAATATATATCTAACTATTAAATTATCCAAAATATTAATATAAATTTAAAATATCAATTCAGTAATTAAAATAATTTTAATTTTTTTATAAATATATTAAACTGAATTTTTCGATCACTAATTTCGGTCACTATTAACCATTTTTCTAGTAGTGTATAAAGATTATATGCTATATTATTATAAATAAATTATAAAGATTATATTCTATCATTAAATTACAAATTCATATAAAGAGACTCGCTCACAAATTTGACATCAAATTTTGAAAACCCACTTGACACACACTTTCACTCTCGAGCGCGCTCTCACATCCAACATATAAATATATAAATATATTTGTATTTGTATTTATATATTTTATATTTATATATTTACATGGATATACATTTATCAGAAAATCCTAGTAGCTTAGTGGTTGGAGTATCAGCCTTCGACTTCTAAGGTACTCGGGTTCGAATCTTGCCAAGTGATGAGTTCTCTTAATTTTATAAAATGACTTTCTACATCGGCTCATCCGAGAACCGATGTAGAAAGTATTTTCTACATCGGCTTCATCCGGGAACCGATGTAGAAAGTGTTTTCTACATCGGTTCATCTGGGAACCGATGTAGAAAGTCTTGAATCCACTTTCTACATCGGTTCTTAAAGAACCGATGTGGAAAGACCGATGTTAAAAGTGATTTCTGTACTAGTGACGATTTTATTCAGAAATTAGATCAAACAACTTTTATGTAATAAAAACAAAATTATGAAAAGTTTAAACACTAAAAAGGTAACAAATCTATTACAATAAGTAAAAGAAGCTCACTTCCTCAGCTGTGTGATTCAATGCATTACATGCTAGTCGTTTATTTGTAAATTCATTTTTAAACTTAAATATTTTAGCTAAATGTGCAGGTCCTATGAATATAAATTATAAGGAAAAAGATATAAAGTATTACGTAATTTTGCTCCTCTTTGAAAATCAGAAAATTGAAATATTGCATTTGCATGGAAGTACCAAAATAACATGATAAACAACAATTTTGTATACACTGAGATACAATCAATAATCTTCACATCCTCAAAGATTTTGGACAAGTACAGCAATATAATGTAGGAAAGCTGATATTAACACTTCACTCTTTCCAAACGTAAACACAGATTAATTTTAACAGAAGAGAATAAAAATGTTATTAATTTCTTATGAAAATTAAAGAACTGCATGATTTCTGCTTCATAGAACTATCAGTTTAGTAGAAGTAGTTATACAGAACATGTCATGGCACTACTAACAACTAGAACCTGTCAGCAACACACCTAGTCCAACAGAAATTACTTTGTTAAGAAGAAAACTCAAGCAAAAATTATGTCAATAAACAGAAAAGATCTTGATCTCATTTCTGAACAAAAGCCACATTCCAAGGAAAAAAGTTAGAACTGAAATTGACAAAAAGCTAGTAAACAATCATCTAACAATTTCAAATAACCGTACAAGCACACGAAATATAAGATATTGACCATATCATGTGCCATATTACTAGATCTGATAAATCTACCATCCCTTACCAAAAATATAAAATTCGAACTGAACTCTGATTACTCTATCTTATTGTAACAGAAGCAATGAAGCATATATAGGTCTTCTTATGTAAAAGCCACAAAATGACATAATATTAAAATATTATGTATTGTGTTGAAGTATAAAAACGAAAAGAAAGTAAATAATTTTCTCCTTCATTGTTGAAAGACAAGAAAAATCCAAAGAAAGGCACAGAGGAAAATGCAGAAACATGTATAAAAATAGAGAAGCAAGTAGATCTCATATGTCAAAATAGAAAAAAGAGATTTCAGTATTTGAGAATTAGAAAAAGAAAGATCAACACACACATATACAACACTGCATACCTAGTGCTGCTACAGAACTCATAAAGCTTGCCACGGTTGGAGAAGATGATGAGGGCAACCTCAGCATCACAGAGAACAGATAGCTCATAGGCTTTCTTGAGAAGCCCATTTCTCCTCTTTGCAAACGTGACTTGCCTGTTTATCTTGTTCTCTATCCTCTTCAACTCCACTCTTCCCCTCCCCATATCCTTATTATTCTCCAACCCACTTCTACTTGTAAATTTTTTCCTTTTTTTCACTCAATTTTTCTATTTTAGTACAACACCTATCCCTTTCCCCACTTTTCTTGTTTTTTCTTCTCTTTCCTCTTCCTCCTCTCGTGCCCCTGGCGATCCCTCTTTCTTGGCTCAGTTGCAAGTGCAACCAAATTTGTGAAAAGCAAGAGAAAGTTTAACACTTTCAAGTTCAAACTTGGAACCCTAGAGAGAGAGAAGGGAAAGTGTTGTGTGAGTTTTGTGTTGTCTTGTGTTGTATTTGTATGTGTACTCTCCAACTTGCCTTTTTATCCTCAGGATTTTCCATCACCACCAGAAAAATTGAGTGCAGCTTAGGGTTGGAGTTCTTTCTAGTTTCATGTAACTTTCTCTTTCCCATGATTTTCCATGTTAACGTATTTTTGGAAAAGAAACACATCCCACAGACGCAACACTCACGCGTGTCATGCACTCAACACTGGTTGCCAACACTGGCGCGTGGTGACAGCTGTCTTATGTGCTGATGTTACTTACAAAATTATTCATCCAATAAACTTTATATATATTTCACACATTCTTCTTTTTTATTACACTACTTTATCTTTTCCAACCTACTTCTCCTTGTTACTTATAATTTATTGTTTGCAGTTAAAATCTGTGTCATTTTCCACTGTATTAGCAAGAGTATCAAAACGTGGTCACATACCTTAAAATGGATTCAACACGTGTCACCTTTTCACTGGCTTATATCCACTGAAGTTTCATGCATACCTTGAAGCTTTGCACTTCACTTTACTTGCTCATTAAAACAGCAGAATCATTGAAAAGTATAACACATGAGAAATTTTAAATACAATGAATGCTACTGGGAATTAAACGGAAACCCTAGTGGTTCTTGAACTGAAAAAATCAATGAGAAACATAATAATGTATTTATATTGTTGGTTGAAATTTGAAAGTGACTAGTAAGATATTTTTCTGTACATTATTAATTAGGGTGGCAATGGGTACATCCACCAAGGTTATTACACTGTCCTTCGTGTTATATAAAAATACTCACTTATTCGGTTTCTGTATTAATTTTATTTCTCGTATTATTTTTGTTGTTGGATGTGTTCTTACTTAATCATGCTTATATTAAAAATCTTTAATGTGCTATCGTAACTTTACTATAACAAAATGCTTCTTTTTTTAATTCATTATATGCATAAATTATTATTATTACTTACAATAGATAACTTTCGTGGATATCCATTCAATTTGATCTATTTATAATTGCCAATATCCTAACTATTAATTAGCTTTTATCTTTGAATTTGATAACCCGCATTTAGTACCATGAAAACTAAGATGTAATCTTGAAGTTTACGTTTTCTAGCACCTACCCACCTCTTCATTGATGTGGAACTAGTTTCTTGATTACAATAGATTTATTTAGAAAGATTCGTTCACGGAGAATAGCTTCTAATTTGGAAATATAATTTAGAATTCCGCTTAAAAAATCGTTCATTCAACATATAGATATATTAAAAATTGTTTATCTTAATATTAAATTTCTGAGTACTATTTTTATATTCCTTCATTGTGAAATATGATTTAATTAGTAAAAAAAATCCAACACTTGATACTTTTTAAAATTGTACATGTATTATAAGTAATTCACACAACATACACAAAATAGTTTCTAATTAAAGAAAAAAAAATGTTATTATGGTAATGTTAAACTTGCTAAATTTCTTTCTTGATATTGGATTGGATATAGCATTGCACGGCAAAGATGTAAAGTTAATGAAAAATGATGAGAAAACAAGTTGAGTTATGCTTCCTAAGTTTTGTTCGACTTAGCTTTCGAATACGTACATAATGTGATGGTTGATGTAATCATTTCTCATATCATACACGGAAATTGACTTGGTACAAAACCACTTTTATGATGAATACAAAAAAGCTTCCAAGGTAGGAGAAACATGTATATAATCTCTTCAACCCATTTAGTGCAATGAGACATTTTTATGGCCAAAATTATTTTTGCCTGATTATCAATTTGAAGCTAGACAGAAGGGCACTGTCGGTTAAGGGTAACCTCTGATTTTGACATATCTAGTTTGTTAAGTAAAGGCCAACTAACACCCTCCCCTTCTCCACTATTTTTTTCAATACTCAAACCAATTAGATCCTAATTTACCATTTTCATTGCCATAAAAATCTTCGAAATTGATGGGAAAGAAAGAAGTTTACGAAGAACATCTGCCTTTATCTTTGAATATAACGTGAAAAAAAAAACGTGATAATGAAAATCATCGTCTTTATCTCCAAAAATTAAGGATATAATATAGAAACTCAAAAATCGCACTCTCTAAAGACAACTCTCAAGTCTTTTGATTCCAGATATACCTCCACTCTCCAAAGTAAAAATTTAAACTAATCCTCTCAACACTTCTCTCATGCCTTTTGATTCCAAATATACCTACAGTCTCCAAAGTAAAAATTTAAACTAATCCTCTCAACACTTCGTTACAAGAGTATAAGAAAAGTTAAATACATACTCAAAATATCTTTGACTATGTGAGAAACATCATGGACTTTAAGCCCATTATATAATTATTATCACTCACTTCATTGCTTATTAAATGTGATGTGAGACTTTTTTAAGATGTATTATTTTCATCAACCCAAAATCTTCACAATGTCCACCATGATTAAAATAAATACATTTCTCTTTTTATCTCCATTGCCTATACCTGCAATCATTTATACTTCACCATAAAGAGTATAATCACTTAAAATTAAATCATTCCAATAATTTTCTTTCACTGGATACCTGCATCAATGTCAATTAATGCTCGTGTATAATCAGCACACATCCTATATCAATATTAGTCAATGTCCGTGCATACTTGCATCAATACTAATCAATGTTCGTATATAATCACTACACATCTTGCATCAATATTAGTCAATGTTTGTGCATACCTGCATCAATGCTAGCCAATGTCCTTGTATAATTATCATATACCTTGTATCAATATTAGTCAATACCCTTGCATAATTATTGCTAACAGAAACTCATCATTTTCCATGACAACGCAGTTATGCTATGAGGATACTTAACTCCATGTTAGAAGTCATTCATTTCAACACTTTGTGTTACACAATCAAGAATCTGATATGATTGTAATTATTGTCAAATATTGTAATTAGCTTAAATTGGGATACCTACTTAATATAGGAGAGATACTTGCCTAATTTCTAGAGATTTAGCTTATTTCTCTCCTAATGTTATGTAACGGTCAGTGTATTCACTTGTATATATTTTGCCTCTCAATCAATGAAATATATGCTCTCGAGGTATACTTTCATGGTATCAGAAGCATCTCTATAATCAACTCTGATTTTTTTTACCTCTGCAGCATGTCTACCTCCAGCAAACTTAATTTGGAGAGCCCTTATTATCTTCAAGATGAGGCTCAAAAGGCCCATACGCATCCCCCACTGACTTCAGAACGTGCAGCCCTCCAAACTCAACCTGCACACGCTTTTTTGGCCAAACAACCACCTTCTCGCAGTCGTCCCAAATGTGCGCATTGTGGCATCCTTGGTCATACGGAGCATAAGTGCTATAAGCTTCACGGATATCCGCCAGGGCATCGCTACTACCATAAGGGGAACACTCATGGACAGTCATCTACTTCATCCACTCGTGCTGACCCACGTAATGATGCTGTGAAAGATCCTTTATCTGCAGATTCGTTACAGCAACTTCTTCGCCTATTAAGGGAGGTAAACCAACCTAAGGCCAATCTCACAGGTGCGTCTCTAGCTCTTTATTCTTCCCTCTGTATGCCTACTGAATGGGTTATTGATACTGGCGCAACAGATCACGTTTCTTTCACCCCTTCCTCTTTTCAACAACCACCTATTCCTTCTTCTCTTCATAAATCTATTTGTGTTCCTAATGGTCATTCGGTTCCTATACATGGCTTTGGAAATGTACACATAACATCGGATATCATCTTGACCGATGTCTTATTTGTACCCTCATTCAAATTCAACCTTTTATCTCGTGCTGTAACTCATCCGGACTACTAATTGTTCTGTTTCCTTTTATCCTGATCATTGTGTATTTCAGGACCATTTGACGAAGAAGGAGATTGGTCGGGGCCATAAAAAGGGTGGACTCTACTTCCTTGATGTCTCTACCTTTGTTGCCGCCATCATCACTACCTCATCCACCACTTGGCATGCTAGGTTTGGTCATCCATCATCAAGTGCCCTCAAGTGTTTAGCTCCTGTTCTTGGTTTCAATAAAGACTCTTGTGACCATTGTGAAGTCCGTCATTTGTCAAAACAAACAAGACTCCCTTTTCCTTTACACACACCCACTAGCAGTGGTTTGTTTGAATTAATTCATGTTGATATTTGGGGAAAGTATGCCACACCTACAAAAAATGGTCATCATTATTTTTTAACTATTGTTGATGATTTTTCCCGTGTCACATGGACCTATCTCATGAAATACAAGTCGGATGCCTATTCTTTGTTAGTTCATTTCTTAGCTTATGTTCGAAATCAATTTCGGACATGTGTAAAAACAATCCGCTCCGATAATGACACCGAATTTACAAATAATTCATTTCAGAAAATTCTTTGTGACTCGGGATTCTCCAACAATTCTCTTGCCCAGGTACCCCATAACAAAATGGTGTCGTCGAGCGTAAGCACCGACATCTTCTCAATGTTGCATGGGCTTTACGTTTCCAAGCCGATCTTCCACTAATTTTTCGGGGTGATTGCATTCTTATCGCCACTTATTTAATAAATCGAACACCATCCAAAATTTTAGCCGGTCAAACTCCTTATGAAAAACTCTATGGCCATCCACCCGATTTCACTCACTTGCGTACATTTGGTTGTTTGTGTTATGCATCCACTTCACATGATCATCCAAATAAATTCGCACCTAGAGCTAGACGTTGCATCTTTGTGGGGTA